GCGGTGGGTATTAGAATGGAAGATGTCCCCAGCCTGGGCTGCAGACACCACCTCTGTGCACGTGTCACCTGTCTCCCACCCTCACCACCACTGGAGCCTCTGACCCCACCCCACCCCATCCCATCCTGGAGACCAGCCCTGGGGGGACTCGTCCCAAATGCACCCCCTGGGCGGTAAGGACACCCCTCAAAGCCAGGTGCTCCTCACTCACCAGGACCCATCGGGCAGGAAGAGCGAGATACTCAGCTGATCAAGATCATGTAACTTTCGTTTTTAAAATCTGGCAAATCTGCTTCATACGAATGAATGTTGCGAAATGACCAAAGGGCACGATTTTCAAACTCAGATTCCTGCTGACGGAGGCCAGCACACCTGCCGGCCGCTGGCCTCCAGGGCGAGCCTCCTTCAGCTCGGCTGTTCCCTAGGTTTTCACACATCATCTTATCTATTAATATGTGGAACCTTCCAGCTCCTCGGAAGAAACACTCTCCATGGAGGTCAATGGCAAGCCAATCCTCCTTTTGGAAAGAAGTACGCACCATTGACCAGCGAAATCTGTGGCTCCACTTGCAAAGGGCCCTGGCCCCTGGCACACGGAATTGTGAAACATGTGGTTATTCAGACCAACCTTCGGGTTTATTCAGACGTTGTGATGACGCCACAGAACAACAGGCTCCACCTAGTCAGACTGCAGAGACTGAAATCAGATACAGGTTTCTTTGTCAGAAGCCTCTAAATTGTGACAGATTTACCCCCATAACACGGGTTTAGCAGATGACCGGAAGCAGAGGGGCGTGTGAAATGTGCCCGGTGTCTCTGGGGTCTGCTGGGAGCCTGTGAGGTCCCCACCCTGTGGAGCTGTGGTGGGGTTGCAGCTTCTTCCGCGGGTGCATCAGGGAGCGAAGCACAGTGGGTGGAGGGCCCTCGCAGTTCTAACTTTTTTTTTTAACTGAGGGTCTAGCTGAGGAGATTGCAGACGCTCTGGCCCCTTCCGCCGGTTCCAAAACTCACGGCTGGGCGACCAGTTGTTTCTTGGGAGGGACTGTGCAGTGACATTGTTTCTGTGACCCCATGGCCCGTTCAGGGTCCAGGGTGCTGGCTTGGGGTTTGGGTGATGGGGACACCATAAGGAAAAGTCCTTTGTTCCCGGCCCCTGTGCCTGTGCTGGCGTCTCTCTGGGCCCACAGACTATACTCTGTGTCTAGGGAGGTGGGCAGGCCAGATGGTGTACGGAGACCCTGAAATTTTACACCTCACCAGACACTGTGGTTAAGTGAGTCTCCATGGTAAACGCATTTATAGGATGTTAGAAGGCTGGAGTTAAATATTTAATGTACTACTTTAAGCGTTTGTTTTTCAAAGGAAGAGTTGCCATAATTTAAAATCTCACAGAAGTATATTTAGAAATGACTCTTCCCAGTAGATTTTTAACAGCTGTTATTGTGTGCACCCAACTGTGGCTGAAATCCTGCTGCACGTAGTTCCTAACGGGTTACCCTGAGGTGGGCTCACTGACCTAACATGTGTAGTATTGCTCAGGCAATGAAAGCCATGAATGCAATAGGCTGCAAGATATGTGGCCACTGTCGCCCTCCCACAAATGAGGGTGCTGGTGTCCGCAGACATCCCATGCTGGTGTGGCCTGGAGTGGCCCTGGTCTCACTGTGCTCATATCCACACCATGATGTTGGGTTCCATTCATCCCCCTGGGCAGCAGCCACCACACTGTTCATCTGTCTTGTCTCTTTGTGTATTATTTCCAGAGATAAAATGCTGTCTTTTGTGTCAAAATTAAACACACCATCTGGGTTACGTTGTGTGGGGAAGGAGGGAGGGAGTTCTTTATTAAAGCAGGTGCAGCTGCCTGACAGCTTGGTACACTGCCATCTAGTGGGAGCCCCAGGCACTGCAACAGCCTCATGCTGCTCTGTCCATTCCCAAGGGGCTCCAGGTACTTGTGTCTCAGGAAGGCGGGCAAATACCAGCTGTCCCTTGTCACTGGGAAAGCAGACAGAACACATTTAGTCTACCATGTAGAGGGGCAGCAACAGTTAGGCATAGCTTGGCTATACTTTTCCTTGAGAGCATCGTTTTTCTACATACATGGTCTCTATTAAAAACATACCAGTGTTCACATTCTGAGACCATTTGGTATTTCAGAGCAGAGGCTTTTTTAAAACTAGTTTATACCTGTTTTAGAATTAAAGAGAAAACGATGATTTTAGGGTGTTTTTTTTTTCTTCCTCGTTTGATCTTTTGCGAATTACAATTTGCGTTTTGGGTACAGATGAAATGACACAGGGCAGAGCTGGCCTTAAAGTCCCCGTGTGACCAATACTTTTGCTCAGTGTGTATTCTTTTTTATCCTTCTCACAAGAAATACTAATATATGTATTCACACACACACACACACACACACACGGAGTCCTTTTATGGGGACAGATACCTTTGTAAGTGAAGGTAGGATTTCTGGGGCTTCACGTAGCTACACCATCTTTATCTATTGCTAATGACCAGTCAGAAACGCTACCATTTAAACCTCGAAGCTACGAAGCAGCAGGCTTCTCCAGATAGCTTCATGGTCTATTAATTGGGGCCTCCTCCTTCCACTGAGAGCTAAGTCACTCTCTTTATTTTCATCTCATTACTATTTGATCTGCCAATTAGCTTTTTTGGGGGATTGAAGGCCTTGGGCCAAGCTGGTTTAATGAATTGATTTCCAGCAGACCAGGTGCTTGACAGTTAAATTCTCCTTGGTTATTTGAAATGTTTTTGGTTTTTTTTTTATTGTTGAACGTATTACTGATGTCCCCTTTGTTTTACCCATTGACCCCCTCCATCCTGCCTCCGTGCCTCCCAGGCCTTCACCACTCTATTGTCTGTGTCCATATATGCATATCACTGCCCCCCCCAACCCCACCCCCCACCCAGATCCCACCTTTCCTCTGAAATTCGTCAGTCTTTTGAAATTTGTAAAACCCACCCTTGAAAGTCGTCACAGCTCAGAGCATGGGTGCAGGGTGGTGAGGTAGAACCCTCTCGATGGAGGCCACCTCAATTCCCAGGGCTCTGTATGGGATGCCAAATTGAGAAGTGAAAAGGGCACCTGCGGTCAAGAGTTCTGGAAAGCTCCCACGAGACACCGTTTTGCCCTGGTCTCTGGAGGTCAGCCGGCTGTGAGCACAGGAAGGAGAGTGCTCTGGCAGCCGGCTGTGGGCACAGGAAGGGAGCGCCAGGATCTGAAGCCCCACCCAAGGGCAGGAGGCCGGCCTGTCCTCAGTACAGCCCCCTGGCTCGAGGGATGTGGTCCCTGCTCTTGTTTTCCCTCCTGCTCTTTGGACACTGAGGAGAGCAGAGCTCCTCAGGAGGCCCAGGGTGGGCGGGCAGGTGAGAACAGGTGCTCTGGGAGCCAGGCCCCAGGTTGAACTTGGCCATTCTGAGCTGAGAACTGGTTTGGAATTGCCTCCTTTTGGGAAGACCGAATGTGTTGTCAGGTTTCATTCACCCCCCCGGTTGGTGATTAGTTGTCCCACTTTGCTGTGTCATCTCACCGGTCTGTTCAGGCATTCTCCTCTCAGAGAGCAAGTTGAGGTACAAGTTTGGAGGAGAGAAGGTGGGGGACAGGCCTTCTTGGTGGGGAACAGGCTCGTGAGGACAGGGTGCACACAAAACGGGAAGTGGTCATCTTCGCAGGGCATCACTGCCTTGACATCCTGACCAGGCAGCACCTGCACCTGAATGCTGCCCCACGGACAGCGTCACTGTCACAGTTCGCATGTTCACGAGCCACTCCACATGGCCTGGGCCCCAGCTCCATGGGGAGGTCTCAGCCTGCAGTCTGGACGCGTGCAGAGGTCCGAAAGTCCCCGGCCACCGATGAGGCTGGCTGGCTCAGGTGTGCTCTGCACTCATCAGCTCGTCGCAGTGGATCCCAGGCCTCGAATGGAAGCAGCTCTGAGCTACAGGAGGCAGATTGGAGACTTGAGGGGGAAGGCGTGATGAGTGGCGGCTTTCCCCAGGGAGTTTGGAGACACAGGTTTGCTGAGCACAGGGTTTCCTCATCCTCTGTGGCCTTCGAGCAGGCTCTGGAGAGGAGCCCTCCGTGTGCCAAAAAAAGGGAAGAAAGAAAAGAAACGTTTCTTGTGTTGAGCAGAGAAAGAAGTAGTGCCATTGTCAGCGTGGCCCCATCCCTGAGACCTCTCGAGGCGAAGGGTGGCCGGTTGCTGTTCAGGCAGCTGAGTGGCTGCTCATTCCCGTCCCATCCCGTCTGCCTGCCGAAGGGAGAAGATGGGCCTCAGAACCACATGTAAACAGCAAAGCTGAGAAAAGGCAAAAGCTTGGGGCCCCACTTTTCACCTGGCAAAGTCTCCTATACCTTTAGTACCCCCCCAAAAAAAAAGCCCCGACCAGCGTCCCACATCAGGTACTCAACCCCAGATGTTTGAACCAGAGGATCACGTTCACTGCGGTCACTCACGGGAAGTAGAAAAGGTTACGGTCGGCTCGCTGCTGTCTCTGGCTTCAGAGGCCATGTTCCGTGAGCATGGAAACGAATATTCCGTGGCTGCGCCTTCTAGCCCAGGACCCCTGTGTTCTCGCTGTCCAATCGCAGTGGCTGCAGAGGGTAGACAGGAGTGGGGCGTGTGGTCCCCTCCTGCGTGGACACAGAGCTCCACACGAGCTGCAGGAATCGGAAAGTAAACCGGTTCAGCCGAGTGCGTGAGCCAGCTCCTCCCCGGGGGCCTGCCGGCGATCGCTGTGAGGTTTCGGCGTCATCACGTTCCTGTGGACCCTGTGAAAGCGGAGGAGCCTGGCTCTGAGCTGCTGTGGGCACAGGTGTCCGTGTCGCCTGGCAGAGGCTATCATGCCGGAGGGTCTCATGGGCAGAGTGGTTTTTAAACTACAAAGGAAACTATTGTGTGATCGTAGCATCACCTGACCCTGCATCTTGATGACCCATTTCATGCTTACGTTTAATATTTGTGCTTTTTCCTCTCTAGGTTGAAGAGAGACCAGAAAAAGATTTCACCGAGAAGGTGAGGAGTTTCTACAAGCCCTTATATTATGTCATTAATGAACCTTGTGGGTCCCAGGATTTATGGGTAAAACTAACAAGAAAATAATGTGAGTGAACAGGACAGTGTGTGGGCCACCAGACAGCGTCCCAACCTTTGGGGGGGAGGGGGGTCCCCGGGAGTCACTTCCAGTTTGTGCGTTAAACCCTCCGCACAGTGATGACGGTAGGGTGAGTGCAAGGTCCCGGGCTCCACGGGCCCCTCTGTGTGGAGCTGTCTGTATTGGCTCCCGCCAGCCCAGGGACGAGGTTCCAAGCAGGAACCTGAATTCAGGTGATTTTGGTTTTGTCTGAAATGGTGTCTGGTTCTTGCCGTGCTCCAGGGGTCTCGTAGCCTGGCCGGCCTGTCTGCAGCCACACTGGCCTCGCTGGGCGGCACCTCGTCCCGGAGGGGGAGCGGGGACACCTCCATCTCCATCGACACGGAGGCGTCCGTTAGGGAGATCAAGGTAACGCACTCTGCCTACTCATGACCCCTATTCAAATCTGTCTCCAAAGGGGGGGAAAAAATTCAATTCCTAAAGCGCCAGATATTTCTTCTCAGTCCTGTCTCCACTGCTTCCCATACACAGGTGTTCAGGTAACCCCAAGACCCAGCACAGACCTGGTCTCCCCAGGAGGCTGACCCTGCCTGCCCCGCCGAGCAGGGCCCACTGCACCCGGCCCCTGGGGCACGCCTGTGCCAGCACTCACCACGCCGCACAGAGGTGCTGGGCCACTATGTCCTCCTGCCCTCTGCAAACCTCTGCCCGCTCCTTCTCTCTGTCACACACCTCGGGAGACCTCACCGTGCTGTTTGTGTGGCTATATCTCCTCCCGCTGGGATGTGGACACTTTTCTCTGGGCCATCCTCACCCCTGGGTGTGAGTCAGGAATGCGGTGCTGTTGTGAAAGGAGCTGCATCTGAAGGAGCCCACGCAGAGGGCAGTGTGTCCTCTGAGAGCTTTCTAATAATTAAAAGAGAGCCAGCTGCCACGGGGCTTTCCGAGCCCCTGGGGGCCCATTCGCCAGGCAGGCCAGAGAAGGGATTAAGTATCGCGGGGGGTGGGCCAGTCCCCTGGAAGGTGCCTGGCGACTCCTATGCTTCATCAGAGTGGTTTTTGCTGTTCTTCCTCACGTCCCCTGGGCCACCCCCGGGCCGCCTGCAGCTCTGTTCGCTCCTGCACCCCACTGATGTCGTAGTTGCTGTTTGCTGCCATCGGATTTGTGAGCACCAGTCATTTGTTCAACAAGTGCTTATGGAGCGTCAGGCTCCCACAGACGCCAGGCGCAGGGATGTGGTGGTGAAGGGGAGGGACAGAGTGGGACGGGCTCCATGGTGCCGGCACAGTGTTGTACTTATCCAGCACAGACCAGGACTCTAGCAGCTGGAGTGAGCCCTTAACCACAAGGAATATTTCTTGTTCCATTTTCTGAAGCTCTTTTGCCTGTTTTACAAAATTATGCAAATATAGCATGTGAGATAGACCTCAATTTTATAAAGTCTTGTGAGAATATGAGAACACACCTACATTTTAATCTTTGTAACATGGGAATGTCTTTTATTTTTCTCCAACACTTAAAAAAGCAACGACGACGAAGAAGGGCCTAGCTGGTGTGGCTCATGGTTGAGCATCGGCCCAGGAACTAAGAGGTCCCTGGTTCGATTCCCAGTCAGGGCACATGCCCGGATTGTGGGCTCGATCCCCGGTAGGGGCTGTACAGGAGGCAGCCAATCGATGTCTCTCTCTCTCATCAATGTTTCTATCTCTCTATTCCTCTCCCTTCCTTGCTCTCCAAAATCAACGAAAACATATTGGGGAGGGGGTGGGGGAGAAGAGGGAGGGCACAGGCTCAGACTGTTAGAGGAGGCCGCCCAGAAGCGGGAAGCTCTCGCCTCTGTCTTGGTGGTCATGTCCGCCTCTCCCTTGACACCACTTGCCTTTCTTGCCCCCCCCCCCCCCACCCAGGAGCTCAGTGAGTTAAAGGACCAGATTCAGGATGTGGAAGGCAAATATATGCAGGGGCTGAAAGAGATGAAGGTACCAGTGGATGGCATGTGGTCTGATGACACTAACCTAGCTTAACCTAAAAGCATCCTCAAGGAGACCTTCGAAGCCCTGCTAACCCTACTGACGCCCCAGGCTCCCAATGCCACATGGTGTGTGCACGCAGCATGTCTTGGTGCAGCCTCTGAACCGAGAGAAGTCTGCTATCACATTTCCCGATTCGCGTCTTGTCCTCACGCAGCCCCCCTCCCCGGCTGAAAACCAGGAGCTGCCAGACAGACGAAGAAGGGTTTCTTGTTTTCTTCGTTTCCCATAGCGATTACGTGCACACACCGCCTTCTTTCACCTGCCTCTGCACATATCTGATGTCTGCAGTGACACAGTCCCCGTGGCCATGCTCTGAAACACCGGGCATTTGCATGTCGTAACACTGTACTGATTGGAGCGGCGTCTGAATGCGCCTCGTGCTGGGTTTATTTGAGTATTAGGGTGTGGAGTCCCTCTGTTGTTCCGACCAGGACATTTAGTTGTCATTCCTGGAACAGTCAGGGCCTGTGCCCTGTCTTTATGAGGCAGCCGTGGAAGATCATGACCTAGCAATAGATGGTGAACCTGTCACTTCCCCGAGCTCCTCAGAAAGTACCCCCCAGTGTCACAGGGGTGACAAATCACACAACTTTCATATCTGTCACCTCTTTTCAAAAAGAAAAATTCAGACCCTGGCTTTTAACTCATGAGAAGGAAGCCAGTGAGGCATCCCAGGGATCACTGGTCCCACCCAAAATCGATGCCCTGGTTTGCGAGTGCAGGTGAGCCCAGCACTGGCCCCTGGCAGCCGACCCGGCAGCACCACCCTTCGTTAGCGTTAGGTGGCTTATACCCGGGCACTCTGCTCTCCCTGCCTTCCCAAGTCGCCTTCCCCTGCTCTCTGTTTTGGGATCTAAATCCCACAGTGCTGTCTGGGTCGCCTGCCCTCTGAGGGCGGAGCCACGTGCGGGCCCTGCGTACCCTTTCCCTGGGCGGCCCTCCCCAGGGCCCACCCCCCTGAGGCCATGTGCCTGTGTAGTTCTCCTGTGGGTTGAGAATCTGAAGTTCCACTTCATCCTTTCCTGGTGCGTGGGTACAGACCGGGATCCCTGGTAGCTCGGGGCAGGGGTTTGCTTCTCCCAGAGAAGCTGGCACGGTCCCCAGTTCTCGCCACGTAACTTGGCCGATTACTTCAGAAACCTGTTGAACAGCCTGACCCGCTCCAGGCAGCTGCTGCCTCGTGGGGCTGGGACTCACTGCCGGTGACCAGACCGTCTCCATCGGGCGTCTCCCTGGTCCTGGGACTGCGTAAACCATCTTCATCCCTGGGCACGGTTAATAACTAACCTCCTGGGTGACGAGAATTTGATCACATCGAAAAGGAGGAATTTCTATGCGTTTGAAGTTGCCCTGTGTTCCCTGTGTTGATTCATTTGCTCTAAGAAAGTCTAAATTTAGGGCTGAGCTGTTTTTATTTTTAAGAATGCTGAGCTGAACTTTGTTGTTGTTTTCTTACTATCATTTCAACAATATGTCCTGGGCTCTGCAGGACTCGCTGGCGGAAGTGGAAGAGAAGTATAAGAAGGCGATGGTTTCCAATGCCCAGCTGGACAACGAGAAGATGAACTACATGTACCAGGTCGATACCCTGAAGGACACGCTCCTGGAGCTGGAGGAACAGCTGGCGGAGTCTCGGCGGCAGTATGAGGAGAAAAGCAAAGTAAGCTTCAGTGTAGTGAGGAACGGTAGAGTAGATACGTAAATGTATGTACTTGGTATATGGTATGTACATATATGGTGTGTCAGTGTAGGTGTGGGGGGTGTTTTCCAGGTTCCATAAAAGTCTAAGCTTTCTTTTTCTTTTTTTTTAAAATATATTTTTATTGATTTTTTATAGAGAGGAGAAGAGAGGGATAGAGAGCTAGAAACGTCGATGAGAGAGAAACATCGACCAACTGCCTCTTGCACATCCCCTACTGGGGATGTGCCCGTAACCAATGTACATGCCCTTGACCGGAATCGAAGCTGGGACCTTTCAGTCCGCAGACTGACGCTCTACCACTGAGCCAAACCGGTTTTGGCTAAGCTTTCTTTTTAATAATTTTTTTTTTTTTTAGTTTTCAATGCATGTATGTGTGTTTATTTTTTTCTAAATGATTTTAGAAAGAGAAGATGGGAGAGGAAGAGAGAGAAACATCAATTGGCTGTCTCTTACATGCCTCCTACTGGAGATCAAACCCACAACCTAGGCATGTGCCCTACGGGAATCAAACGGAACACAGAGAGCCATGTTGCCAGGTCTCTGGAGTGAATCTGATAGAGGGGAGGGTCTGTGGTTGGGGGGGTAGGGGGTGGGCAGAGAATACGGCCAAGCTCTTTGGCTGCCCCCACCTTTTCTGTTTGGTCCCTGGAGGACAGAGTTGGTCATCTCTGTTAAAGAGATGGGCTGACCAAAGTAGGCATATTTAGCCCCCTTTTTAACCCAAAGGGTAGTCCCTGTCATATTTCAAAGTTAGGGATACTTTTGGGGCCCAGAGCACAGCCAGCTCCATGGACAACACCAGTCCCCTTTCGGGGACCCTTCCTAGAGAGGAGCCAGGAAACGCTGTCAGTTCCATCAACTTCTCTAATTTCACAGTAAACCACAGGGTGTTATCCAGAAAACCCAGAGAAATGGGTTCACGGTGTTAAAGGGGCCTGGGACACCGCGCTAACGCGGTCCCAGGCCATGGGTTCCAAGGCAGGGGTAAATCGAGGGGGCGTGACCCCGCCTGATGCCTGCTCCTCGTCCGTCCGCAGGAGTTCGAGCGGGAGAAGCACGCGCACAGCCTGCTGCAGTTCCAGTTCGCCCAGGTGAAGGCCGCGCTGCAGCAGAGGGAGGAGATGCTCGAGGTGGGTAGCTGCTCCCCATTCTGCTTTTCCCTTGTGACTCAGGAGCCTTTTGTTGGCTCATTGCTAAAGCCACGGGTTCTCTGGAAACAGAGAGCTTGGGCTGATTCTCCGTGCCTCATTTCATTCCTGGGTGGTCCTTTGAGGCGCTGGGACAGACGGAACAATGCCTGCATCCTAATCCTGGGGCCCGTGAAAACGTTGCCTTCCGCGGCAGAGGGGACCTTGGGGTGGGAGATTATCCTAGGTTTTCTGTGTGTCACAGGGTCCTTACAGAAGGGAGGCAGGAAGGTCAAAGGCAGACATAGGGATGACATGAGGAGGGGCCCTGAGCCAAGGAATTGGGGGCCTCTGGAAGCTAAAAGAAGGAAGGAAGTGGGTTCTCTCCTGGAGCCTCCAGAAAAGAACCCAGGCCTGCCCACCCCATGGCCTCAGCCTGTAAGACTCATTTTGGACTTCTGAGCTGCAGCACTGTTACAATACATTTTTAATATATTTTGTATTGTTTTCAGAGAAGAAGGGAGAGGGAGAGAGATAAATATCAATGATGAGAGAGCAAATATCATTGATTGGCCGCCTCCTGCACTCCCCTTACTGGGAATAGAGCCAGCAACCCTGGCATGTGCCCTGACTGGGAATCGAATTGTGACCTCTTGGTTCATAGGCCGGCGCTAAACCACTGAGCCACACTGGCCGGACCATTTGTGTTATCGGAAGCCACTGAATTTATGCTAATTTGTTACAGTGCCGATAGGAAACATACAGGGTTGATATTTACCTTTTTAGCTTGATCAGAACTATAGTGCCTCTCAGTGAGAAATCCCCCCAGACGGGTTTCCTCCTGCGCTTGGGACGCTGGGAGTAGAACCCAGAGCCCTGCTGGCCTTCGAGAGTGAGCTTGGGATTAGTGAGAAGCTGCCTTTGCATCCCTCTGTTTGCTGGCTCCTGGCACTCCAGCTCTCCGACTCTCCGCAGGTCCACACTGCGATTGCTTTCTGTTTAACCCTTTATCTGCCTCTTCCTCTCTGCTCCTGTTCTTCAGGAAATCCGACAGCTGCAGCAGAAACAGGCGAGTTATATCAGGGAGATTTCTGATCTTCAGGAGACGATAGAGTGGAAAGACAAAAAGATAGGGGTAGGGCTTTCAAATCTTTGAAAATCTGTTCAAACAAGCTGTCTGCTTAGCAAATGTGATGCTTTTAAGATCGTTGGTGTGCTCGGATGTGTATGCATGCAGCCCCGCGCGATGCAAACTCGGTCATGCAGCGAACACCAACTCACCCAAATTGATAGTGACTCCGGGTTGGAAGTTGGCCTCCCACGTGAACAGTCTCTCTTTCTCAGCATGAGCCGAGGGCCTGACGGACGGAGACACTCCGTGAGGGGGCACTCAGGCACTCTCGTGCGCGCCTTTCCCCGCTTGTCTTAGGGCTTTTGCTCAAGGGGTCTGAGGAGGCTGTCAGGTGGCAAGTGCTTGAAATCTCCCCAGAGAGTCCTCAGATCCTCTCCCTCCCTGCCCGTAGGTGTGATGAGGGGGAGGACGGGACCACTCCCGGCACCTGCTGTGCTTCCTGGCAGGAGCTCCGGGACGTGGTGGCCGTGATACCACATAGGTCTGGTGACGGTCCCCACCCTAGAGCAAGTCATCAGAGCTCTGGCAGTGTGACGCCGAATCAGTGTCTTCACTCTGATTCGCTTGTCCACGCGTACTCAGGGTTCTGTGCACGTGCACATGTACACGCATGCGTGTGTTTGTTTGCTTCAGGACCACTTCGTGTTTGTGCCAACAGTCGCCGGGAATCCAGGTAGAAAAACAGTCTCAACTGCTAAAATGCAGGGTGTCCCCCAAAAATGTATATGCACTTAGAATGGTTATAAAATAAGTGTTTTTCAACATACAGTTCATTTTCAAAATTTAAAAGAATCTACAGGAGTGAATAACATTTTTTATCAACTCCTGTTTTCAAACTGGTCCAGGCACTGCTGATGAGGCAAAGCGATGGAATCACAAACGTCAAGAATCATTTCATTTGGTATTTGTGTGCCTTCAGTTGCGTCGACTGCTGCCAGTTTGGTACCATAAACTTTATCATTAATGTATCCCTATTGAAAAATAAAAAAGTCTAGTGTCACTTTAAGACCAATTTTCTCTGTTCAAAGCTTAGTCTGGCTTCACCCATTATTTCAAATCAGTTAAACCTGAAAATTAAGTGTTGTCAGCTGTTGAAGTGTGTACATATTTGGGGGGACACCCGATAGTTGTCACTGGGGATTCCTCAGCATTTCCTCCTCTTCTGTATTTACGCCCCTGGTAGTCCTCTGACACCACTGTGAAACTGGACTGAGCAAGAACACGATGCAGAGGCAGCTCTCCGGGGCCTCCGTTCCGGAGCACGGGCAGCAGCGTTGCTCGGCTGTCGTGAACTGGAGGAGAGTTTGTTGCTGGCGTTTTGTTTGTGTCTTTGAGCATGTGATATCCGACCGTAGCACTTTACAGAGTAGAAGCCTCTTCCTTACTCTGCCTCTGACATCACCTGCTTACCTGTGTGAATTTCTCTCTCCCTGCTCCGCTGCACGCTCAGGCCTTAGAGAGGCAGAAAGAGTTCTTTGATTCCATCAGGAGTGAACGAGATGACCTTAGAGAAGAAGTAGTCGTGCTGAAAGAGGAGCTAAAGGTATGAAGCCCAAGAACAGCTAAAAGAGAAAGTCCCTGGGACCACGGCGAATGCTGGGATTCTCAGGAAGGAGTGTGTGTGTGTGTGTGTGTGTGTGTGTGTGTTTGCCGGCATTAATCCCTTTTATGTCATTGATTTTCATTCTGTTAACCAATGCAAATCTGAGGTTAACTGACACCGAAGAGACTTGTGAAGTGAGTTCTATGGGGTCTGCCCATGACCAGATGTTCACAAACATTTCTGAGCTCGAAAGCAACTCTGGTTTCCAGGAACTTTTTTATATTCTGTCTCAGTGCTTCCCATGCTCATTAATGAGTTCTCCAGGGCCCTACCTGAAGTTAGAGGGAGCACTTGTTAGTTATATCAAAGGCTCAACTGTAGGGACTTCTCTAGCTGAACGTAGTGTGGGCTAGGCTCATGCCATTTGTACTTTTAGGCCCACTGGCTTGCAGGAAAGTCATGTTCTATCTGGCCGTGTCCAGGGGTCTTTGATTGCTGGCTGGACACAGAATAAAAACACCCAGCATGCAGCGGGGGGGGGGGGAAGGGGGGGGCAGTGCTCTGGGTGGGCTGTGAGCACTGAAGGGGGCAGTGTTGAGGCAGGGCATGTCCATGGGCTAATTCTCATATAGTCAAAGGAGACACGTCCGTGTGGCTGCTATATCTGAGGCTCAAGGCCAGAGCAGTGAACCAGAAAACGCAGGCTTGAGCTTAGGCTGTGAGTGCAGTGTTGGGGATCCCTCCAAGGACACGAGGGAGCTGGGGCAAGGAGATCCTAGAGTCGTGAGGCACAGCTGGCTTTAAAGTGTTTCACTATGGAGTGAGCGGGAGTTAAATTTCTTTTTGTTTATTGATTTTAAAGGGAGGGAGGGAAGGAGAGAGAGAGAGAGAGAGAGAGAGAAAGAGAGGACAGCAAAAGAGAAGCATTGATCCGTTGCCTCCTGCACCATCTCACAACAAACCTGCAACCTGGGCATGTGCCCTGACTGATAATCAAACCCTGCACCGTGTGTGTGTATGTGTGTGTGTGTGTGTGTGTGTGTGTGTGCGCGCGCGCGCGCGCGCGCGCGCGTACATGCACACGCTCAAGACAATACTCCAACCAATTGAGCCACACTGGCCATGGCAAGTTATATTTCTTTTTAATATGCCAAACATTCTAGCCACTTCCTAATTCCTACCTTAACTTAAATGTCATCACTCCTTTCAGAACATGTACACATTTATTTCTTTTTCTCTGTATCTCTTTGTAAAGAAGCCAGTTGGGGTTTTAAAAGTCACGTTCACCTTACCACGACTTGCTCGATGCTTCCTGTGGTGGCAGCCTGCAGGCGTCGCCTCCAGTTTAAAAGGCTCCCGCTGAAAACGCCCGGTCACCACACATCAGGACGTGGTGGACCGGCCCTTGCAGGAGAGTCCGCATCTGTGTGTTGATAGAATAGCCATGAGGATGGTGCCCAGCTCTTCTTGACTCTGTGGAATTTCCCTCAACTTGGGGGAAAAATAGCTTCTTCTGAAATTATTATTAATAAAGTAGAGTTTAAGCTAAATCAGTCATTGAGTATTATGACGAGCCTGTTTTTGTTCCAGAAACATGGAATAATCCTAAATTCAGAAACGGCTACCAATGGAGAGACTTCAGACACCCTAAATAGCGTTGGATACCCAGGTCCTACCAAGATGACAAAAGAAGAGCTGAATGCCCTCAAGGCGACGGGGGACGGGACCCTCGGTAAGTCCGTGTTTTCCTGTGGCTCCTGTCACCTCCAGGCAGCACTGGCTCACCCTCACTGCATTGTCAGGGTCCAAGCGGTCATCACTGCCCATTAACAGTCACCGCATGCCACCTGTCCTGTCTCGTCATGGAGTTCCTTGCGCACGATGTGATCACCCACGCGTGTTGTCTGGCGTGCACCTCTGATCAGTGCTCCCCATCCATGGCTGGGGATACGTGTATCTTGCTTCTCAGAGCTGCCACAGGAGACTGTGATCACAAGGAAAATAGTCTCAAAATTAAGTGACAGTTTTGATGGCACCTACTTGGCTTTCCTCAGATATGTGCCAAGGGTGGCTTTTTAACTTACTCTGTTATGGAATTGTCCAAAGGGGAAAATAGCAGAGGCTGTAAATCAAATTAGTCAACCATTTTTGCAAGCCAACATGGCACATCCTGTGAGATGCTCTGAGGGGATAAGGTGTCTGTGGACAGCAAGTGGAGGCTGTGACAGAGGACATCTTAGTTGCCATCTCAGTTAGCACTTGAGAGGGACAGACAGCCCTGGTGGCGAGGGGGGGGGGACAGGGCTCTGGTAGCCAGTATGGTGTTTTTTTACCAGTGAGAATTGGATATATCTGCCCCTTTGTCAGAGGTGACGTTTCCATGTATGTCACAATTTTGCTTCTGAAAGAATATAAGCTGGGATCCCAGTAGATTGCAGGAGTATCTGAAAGACTCACCAATTAATATTTGTCATAATAATTGGCCTGGGGATAATGCTTCAGAATCACGTGCGGCCTGAAGCTGCCACCACATGTGGGGCCTCACTGGTCAGTCACCTGAGTGTCCCAGGTTTAGCGTGCGGCCAGGGTGGGGTCAGGCCGTGACTGCTGTTTCCATTCGGAACCTTTCATCTTACTCCTTTTATTTATGGAAATGCAAAACCCTCAGGCTTGCTTCCAAGAGGGTGCCTCACTGTATGACACTGAAGGAACGCACAGCTCTGTTAATTGTGTAAAGGTTGCTGAAAGAACATAAGCTGGTTAGCATCCACCATTCCTTTGTTCTAGCTAGCTGAGCAGTTAGGAATTTGATTATGCTGCTCTTTTCAAATACACATTTTGCAAATCTTGGATAATCGTAGTGAAACAGACACTTAAAGAACCAGAAATACCAGTTTTATAAGTGTCTTCAAATGTTCTTTAATCGCTATCAGTAAAAAATTGTGGGCACTTCCCAATATATAATCTATTTTTAGCTTATGTACATATAAGGTTTCATTAATATAAAATGTACATTCTAAAACAAGCACTGATAGAAATCTTTGAAGGATGAAGTAAAACTAACCCTAAACGGAAGTCCTCCTACTTTCCCCATTTTCGCCGGCTCAGCACACTCACCGTGGAGACCGCTGGGTCAGGAAATTGTCAAGCTTTGACCTTCAATGACATGGTATCTTATATGCTGCGGTTCTGTTTGTTTGAAGAATCCAAACTATAACTTCATTCCAAAGCAGTGACATGTTTGTTAATGCATAATTTTTAATAGGTGAGTCATTTGTTATTTAGCTACGAGGTCATCCTAATGTAAGAGTTTGCCTCCCGCTGGGGCTCCCTGTCCCTTAGGGAACGGGGCGAAGGTGTGGAGGGCACAGGCCGCTTTCTCAGGAGACAGCGGTTAGGTGGAGGAGAGTGGGCTTCTTTTTTACCTTGTTTACACTATTGCAAAAGTTATCTTCCTCAAGATTGACCCAGAGGCTGAGTTTTTAAGACACACGGAGTGTGGGAAGCTGCCTTTAGGGCCATGGGCTCCGCAATGCAGTTTGAGAGCTGACAATGTGTGATGTCAGATGTGCATTTGGGAATGAGCATGGGGAACACCAGCCTGAAGTCCTTGAAACCCATCCTTTTGGATTGTTCGGCTGCCTGATCCAAAGCTCTTTCTAGTTGTTAAAACTTAACTTCACCTTTCAAAATCAGTTCACAGGAGAGGGCACCAGCAGCCACTTGCCGTGAGGTGGTGGCATGGCCTTGGCCGGTGGCTGTGGGCATTGCGGTGGCTGCTTCGTGGCACAGAGCTGGCGGGCTTCCGTTCCGGGTGACTCTGTGCTGACTCTCTCGAGGAGCGGGGCTGGGTGGGGATGAGAACTTGTGTTTACCTTGTCATGTATATTAAGTGGTCGCATCATGGGGTCCCTTCAATTTTCTCAATGGTCTTTTAGGAAAAGCCACTGCAGTGGAGGTGAAAAATGAAATTGTGGAGAAGGTGGGGAAAAGAGGAATCTTGCAAAATACTGAGCGGGAACAGCACAAAGAGGAGCCCGTACAGGATTGTGTGGACACTGAGGTCTTGCCTCCTGGTGACAGTGCCAAGAAACGGAAAGCCTCTGAAGATAGTGCCCCCTCCCTAGGAACATTAGCTACAAATGAGGAACAGGTTCAAAGCCCAAGGCTAGAGAGCACATCCTTCCTTGAACATGCAGAGCAGGTTGAGTCCAAGGAGCTCACAAGCACACCAGATGCTAAGAGCTCAAGTGAACCAGATGGTGAAACCCCGGGTCCTGTGATTGGGCAGGGCAGCCGGAATGCCTTGGATATCAAAAACCAAAGTGAGGAAGCTGCAGAAAAACAGGAACAAGAAGAGCAAGGTTTTCAGACCAGTTTGGGAGAGGTTAGCACAAAACCACACCAGGAACCTGCTCCTGTGCAAATACCTGAAGTTGAAAAGGAGAACAGCTCCCAGGGTGCGGTGGAGGCAGGGCTAGCTGGGTTGGAGGAGCAAGCAGGCACAGTGGCCTCCCGTCCTCCAAGGTATAGCAATGACACAGTGAGTCATGACACATGTGCGGTCGATGTCCCCAAGGAGTTGGGCCCAAGGTCAGAGAAAGAGCTCACCAACCAGGAAGGGGCTGAGCCCAGGGAGGTCCCAGTTCCAAGCACAGGGGCAGGGGGGGAGCACAGTGAGGAAGAGGACGAGGGGAGAGGGTTCCTGAGTGAGAAACCAGTCCAGACAGAAGTCCCGGCCAGTCCCTCTTCTCCAGAAGCCAGTGCTCAGGAGGCAGCAGGTGCACATACAGTAAAGGCCAAGAGAGAACCCAGTGAAGAAAAGAACGACCCTCAGGGGGAGGGATTGGATTCATCCCCAAAGAAGACAAAAAACAAGAAAAGGAAAAACAAGAAGAAAAAGTCACCGGCACCTGTAGAAACCCCTCAGGATGTTAAGGAAGAGTTAACCTTTCAGAACCCAGATCTAAGTGAAGTTAAGGAAGAAAAGCAGGTAAACTCTCCTGATGAAAAATCAGGTGTGGACACACAAAATGAGGTCACTGGAAATCACAAACAGAACACTGTGGCCGGAAGCAGTGAAAGCCAGGGCTTTCCAGAAGACCCTAAGATGGAGTTGGTTGGAAAACTGAACCACAAAGATGATGATGTCAACACCGAGGTGGGGAAAGGAAGAGCTGATGGAGAACCATTACTGTTTGAAGGCGATACCATTCAGGCCTCAGGCTCCAGAGCCGGTGCTGAGGGGTCAGAGGAAGGAGCTGGAGCTGCTCCCAGCCGTCCCCCAGAGAATGAAGAGGTGCCTGGCAGTGCCCGGCTCGAAAGTGAAAGTCCCTCCGAGGACATTAACTCTGCCTCTCAAACAGCAGGCGCAGAGGGCTGTGTGGTGTCCGAGTGTCCAAGCCAGGGTGTCAGGAAGGTTTTAGGTAGCGTTAGTCTAGAAAACGATGACTCGGCACCAGCAGGAGAGTCAGGGGACTCCCATTCAGAGTGCAAAGAAGAGACGAGGGGCAGAAGCGAGAAGGACAAAAGCAAAGAAGACTGTGCGTTGTCATAGGCTGAGGCTTGCTTGTCAGGCGCAGTCGGAGAGGGGCCAGGACGCCACAGTGAGTCTAAGCAACAGACTCTTGTCCGTTAGCTCCGCTGGTGAGATGTTCTAGATGGAGGTTGACACGTATGACAATCAGCCACCGCGTTATCTACTACTCTAAGTTATAGACTGTTACTTGTAGATTTATATTTTATTAGGGTTATCACCCAGATTAGAAAGAAAGACACTTTCGTTATCATGTTAAGTTTTAACTGAGAGCATTCCAGTAGTATCAAACAATAACATACACTGTTTATATTTCTGCCTATAATCAAAATAAACACAGTTCATGCCTGCCTTAGGCTGATATGAATGTGGATATTCTTGACCAAATATATCAGCATCTAATTAAAATGACCAGATAGCATTCTAGGATTCCTACATCATGAGTAAATTAACTTGTCTCATTCAAATATACGTGCTTTCATATTTGCTTTTGATATGTACATGATAACCTGCATGGTATTTTATTTAAAAAGGAGATCAGCGGCCAAACATCACGCAGGTCCCTGAGTGATGAGATTTGCGCCTTTGGACAATAGCTCATCACTTTAGGGATAATGAACCTCTTCAAGTCCTGGGAGTTGTTATTTGCCTTTACCTCATCTAAGGATTTTATGTCAGCTAATGCTGTGGAGTTCATTGTTCATGATACCTGGGCTTATTTTATAGATTTTTTTCTCTTTTTTTAAATTTAATACATTTTAATTAAAGAAATTAAGTGGGTGGGAAGGATGGAGGGGGGAGAGAGAGAGAAACATCGATGTGAAAGAGACACATCAATGGTTGCCTCCCGCACGCACCCCGGCCAGGGCAGGGGATCAAACTTGCAAACCAGGTACGTGCCCTTGACCAGTAATGGAACCTGCACCCTTTGGTGTGATGGCTGACATTCTAACCACTGAGCAACACTGGCCAAATCTTATTTTATAGATGTTTACTTCACTTCATGCCAATTATTTATCCAAGTCGTTTTACACAAAGATTTTTTTAAATTATTTTCTGGAAGAGATGTTATGTTGAAATTGCAGTTTCTATACAATATCAGGGTGGGGAGAATCATTTCTAAAAATTTTTAACCTTAAGATTACTTCTCTTTCTGTTTATCTAATCATTATTCAGAAGACCAATAGAAAAGAGTACTGTTCTTCAGCAAACTGCTAATTAGACTATGACAGGATATTTTCAATAGCTGAATCGCTTTTGGTATTTTGGTATAAATGTTTGCATTTGTTTGTCTCCGTATAGTCTTATTGGAAAATTCTTGTTCTGGTCTTCCTGAACAAAATATATATTTCCTATATAAAAGATAATTTTTAAAATAATTGTAACTTGAAATTGAAAAATAATTGTAATGAACATTATGAATGCTGTTAACACTTTATGAGAGTCTATGACTTCATCGTACTGTTACAAGATATAATTGAGTGCAAAAAAGACCAAAGCCTCAATTAAATGTGAGGCCAGCTTGTTATCATGTATTTGAAATAAAGACATTTTTCTAGTTTTACAAGCCTGTGGTTCCAGTCTTTTGGCTCTTTGGACTCTGACCTTGGCTGCTATTGTACCTAATTCACCTGTGAGGCTGTGCCCACTTCCGAGCTACTGATTCCCTGTCAAGGTCCCGGGAGGGACTTCCGCTGAGTACCCTTCATCAGTAAGGATTGAACTTTTCTACCGGCATCTAGCATCTCAGCTCTCCCTCTGAGGGGCTCACATCTGCAGCTGGCCCTCCTTCCTCTCAATAGCACATCGTGGCAGCGCTATGCCTTTTTGGTTTTGCAAAGCGCAGCGTCCACCCCGACCCCCAGTGCTCTATAAATCAGAACCAACAATCACTCCCTGCTGGCCCCGTGGCCACCAGGGATTCCAGTCCTGAGCACCCAGTGCCACCCTGGCCCGGACAAGCCACAAGACAGGGGCAGAGGATCCCGGCATCTAGATGGGCCGAAGTTGCATCATCTGGGGAGGACCGCAGAGACCTCCCCACAGCCTCGCCTGGGAGCTGTGGCTCTGAGGAGAAAGATCTCCGTCCGTGTGCCAGGACTTAGCGCGTTTTGAAGAGTGTGGTGAGAACGGCAGGTAAACGTTGACTTTCTGCATACGGGTCCTGAGTGGAGGGTGATGGGGCTGCCTGAAGCCCACGGGTGCCTATGAACAGAAAAGCCTGAGGCTTGCTGGAGAATCAAGTCCAAGGGTGGCAGAGGAGTTGGGAGGGTTTTAGCTGGTGTCTCTATCTTCAGCAAAGCTGCTTTCACACTGGAATGCACATTGGGAAGCAGCCTTCCTCTCCAAGGCCTCTGGGACACTCACTCAGTGTCTCACTCAGTGTGAGATCATTAAGCCACGTTATGCTCTTTCCTCCTTCTCCCAGGTTATTTAACGGCACACCTACGGACACGAGGGTAAACTTCCCATCCCTTCCGCCAGCCAGCAGTTTCCCTTAGTCACGTGTTTCCTGAGTAAACGTTGTTCACCACTTCATATAGGAAGGGCCCTGTGCAGTGATCAAACAGATAGGACCCAGCTCTGCGTGGCAGTGGGCTGCTGAGATTAGGACAGGAGCACCAAAGAGAAGGACTGAAGAGCCAAACCACCTGAGTCTTCATTGTGAGCATCAGTTCCTCTGCTCCAAGTGTGAGGTGACGGTGTAGTCTAGCACAGTAACTGATGCTCACAACGGAGGCCCTTAGATGGTGATGGAAGGGTTACCTTAGGTCTGTTAGGTTTAGCAAGGCACAGGGTATTCCCAGCAACCTGGGAACATTTCAGTGTCGAAAGATTCAGACTCGAGAAAGAATCCAGGCACACCCTGCCAAGCACATTCCCAGGGGAACCAAGACCACAGAGGTTCCACTGTAGCACAGAGCAGAGGGAGGGGCACATTGATCACATAGAAAAGCTGGCACATTTCTCGGCCCAAAGCAGAATGTAGCTACTGTATGTAGAAGTAAATCTTCCTTCAAAAATATAATAAAGTGTCAGTATGGGTGCATGTAAAGAAAAGGGAATGGTACCTGAGATTTGAATTATAGGTTGCGATTTTATAATATACAAAGATTGGGAAGTATGATAGTAAAGGTTGTGAGGTTTTAGGAATGAGATGGATGGCATTGACAACTTTCTGTAATGTTAGTATTTCCAGTTCATGACCTGATCATTTACACTCCCATGGAGACAGGAATCTGGAATGCTCTTTTTCGGGGGTTAGATAGTTTGGGATTTCTGTTTTCTGTCACTAGACTCCTGCCCCAGGAGAGAATCTTACCTCGCATGCCACCATGAACGCCCCAGTAAGATTTACTCCAAGCATCCAGGCTCCAGAAGGAAAATGGGTGTGTGTGTGTGTGTGTGTGTGTGTGTGTGTGTGTGTGTGTTCATGTGTGCTTGCTTGTTCAGTGTGATGAGCATACATACAAAGGGAAAACTTTGTCTTTCAGGAGAAAAACCCTTCCTCCCTTTCCCTTTCACCTTGTCCACTGTCCCTTTACCTCAAAGACTTAACATTTTTCCAGATGTGAATGGCTTCTGTTGTTCAATGGAATGAAAGCCAGTGGGGCTGGGGCTGGTATGGACAGTTCCCATCTGTGCGGACCTCCTGGGCCCTGTAAACAGGAGGAAAAAGAATCGTCCTTAGCAACCTGTTTGCTATTGTCCTGGCCTGCGGGCCTGGCCCTGGGAGGATGAAACAGACCCTGTGAAACTGACCATAGGATCAAGCTCTGTCCTGTGAGGAGGGAGTGGGGAAAGCAGGGCGTAGTGGTGTCTTGAGAGACCAGTCAGCACCAGGAAGAGCGACTACTTGGCGATATGGCTGTGACTGGTTGTGGGCCTTGCTGTACCCCAGGCTAGTGAGATGAGGCCACAGTAACAAGTGACCAGAAAGGTTCGGAGAATTCCAATGCTCGTTCGGCTGCCCAGGGGTCTCACTCTGAGGCCTTCATTAGCTTTTTGTTTCTCAAATGCACACCAGAAAAGTTGTTGGAATTTAGTATAAAAAACAGATTTTTTAGAAGTGTAATCCTTACCAGTATTACTAAAATATTTTTAATGGCCACTCATTTTAACTTCCCACTAGGAAAGAAAACCCTACATTTGAGTCATTGAGACTTCAAATTCCTTATGCCTTGTTTCTGAAAACTGCAAGTCCAAGGTCTGTAAATGGATATTTGTTTGAAAATCAGGTGTTAGAGAGCAACGATGATCAGTGCTATTAGGGTAGTAACAGGTTTGCAATACTCTTGTTAAGAATTACAATAAGCATACCAGTGATGTAACACCATTTACTCAACAATTTAGATTGTTGGTTTTTAAAGCTATTTTTAAAAGTACTCATTTCCTCCATATCAGGTAATTTTGCTTTTTTTTGTTTCCATTATCTTAAAACTATTTTGTTTTCATCTTAATTCTACTTTAAAATTTCTCTTTCTTAAAAATTCCACATCTCCCTATTTTTCACATTCTCATCATAAGACTTAACGTTAAAGGGTCCTTATTTTTTTCCTTAAGACTATTATTACAATTTAACATTTGTTTTTTACTTGCTATCTAAGATATCTGAAGTCTCCTCATAGAAAAATAATGAAATTGTATAATATATGAGCTTCAAGACCACTTTCTGATATATCCAGAGTTTCTTATGATGCCCGGGATTTTGTACATAGGATTATAAAATAGATAAGATAAAATGAAAAGTGATACTGAATAAGAAATCTGGGTTTTTAACTATAATTTTTTTTTTCAGTGTTGGGTGGGTGGGTTTATAGAAGGGAAACAGTGGATCATCCCTGAGAAGCAATTTGACTGTGGGTAAATCAAAATGGAGTTCAAAGGATCATGAAATTATCTTGTACTTAACATTTTCTGGAGTTTATTTTGTTACTGTGCCTTCCAAAATAACAACTTGGGGTGTTTGGACTTTTATCCTGAGCATATAACTTGGGTTAGAGTGTGGCTATGTGACTTTTTAAAAGAAAACAAAGGTGCATTTTAAATGAACTGTTTCCATTTCACATGGCTGATCAAAAGCAGGCAGTGTGAGAGCGCTGGTCCCTCGGGTACAGGACGCTCCAACCAGGAATCCGAACCCAGCTCTGAGGTCTGAGTTTAGGTTTGGAAAAACAGTGCAGTGATGCACTTAGGGGCGAGGCCCTGAGGCTGGGTGGTGAGGCCTCCGAAAGTTGCTTAGTTGTTCTGGGCCTTGGGTCTTAGGACGGAATAACAGAGCCGCCCGCATGGCTCCATGGGCGAGAGAGGCTGGTGGCCGTGCCTGGCACAGTGTGGGTGCACCACACACGAGCATCGCTCTCTCACCACGTCACACCAGCTCTCCTTGAAGCTGGTGTAGGATTTGGCCCAAACCCCCACACTCCCTGCAGGCTGTGGATCCCCCCTGCACTGAACACTGCATTCAGGGAGATTTCTGGGTGCTTATGTTTATGCATCCTGATATATTATATGTAGGGTGTTGGGAGGAAGGACAGAAACCTGATTATTCCTGCGTTCTTCCTCAAAAGAATAAAAGTGTTTGACAAGTGGGTTAGCACATATGTAGTCAGCAAACTATGATTGGTGGTCATAGTCAAAACTCCGGCCTGGGTGAGCCTCTGAGAGAAATACCTCTGGGGGCACACTCAGGACGTGTGGGCTAATAAAAACCCCGGCGAAGTGTCGTGGTGATGCTCAGTGTGTTTGTATCTTGCTAATGACGTTAAACCATGAAGCCTGTGAGATCTTGTGTTGCAGTGTGGTTTGGCCCTAGAGCCCTTGCATGCTAACCCCAAGTAGAAGATTAGCCCATTTGCATGCGGTCGGACGCTGACGAGACAAGCATGTGCTGGGAGGCCGAACTCCTCCCCCGCCCTGTGTGTGGCCTCATTCGCTGTGGTACGTGTTTAATGCCTTCATCCTCGGTTTCACTAACCTGAGTGCTCATTCTCCCGTGTAGCCATCTGCTGAAGGTGCAGTCCACAGAGCCCCCCTAAACCTGTGTCTTTCTGATTTCTTCAGACATTAGGTTGAAAAAGCTTGTTGACGAACGGGAGTGCTTACTGGAACAGGTAACAACCTTGTTATTGCTTTACGAGTTGTCGAGTGGGGCGCCTGAAACCAGGAACCTTCCCATCCTTCCTGCTTGCTTTGTCAGGACCCCTGACGCATCATGCCTAACAACAACGATCATGCCAACTCGGGCTCTTGAAAATTTTTATCCGTCTGAAGTCATAGGAGGTTTAGAGAGGAGGACTCAGAGAGCCACGGCCGTGTGCTGGGCTGGGGAGGCAGCACACAAATCACTGCCTAACATTACTTGTCTGGTGGGGACTCGGTTTCAGCACTTCTGCGCCTACGAGGCTCCAGATGGCCCTCCCTGGCTCCTTAGTGAGTAAAGCAGAACTTAATAGCACCCTGAATTGCTAACACTTAGACAAACATTTAAAGTACTAGAGGCCCGGTGCATGAAATTAGTGCACTCGGGGTGGGGGTGGGGGTGGGGGAGTCCCTCAGCCCGGCCTGCACCCTCTCTCAGTCCAGGAGCCCTCAGAGGATGTCCAGCTGACAGCTTAGGCCTGCTTCCTATGGGGAGCAGACCTAAGCTGGCAGTCAGACATCCTTAGCATTGCCATGGAGGTGGGAGAGGCTACTGCCACTGCCACTGCGTTCGCTAGCTATGAGCCTGGCTTCTGACTGAGCCGTGCTCCCCCTGTGAGAGCTCACTGACCACCAGGGGGAAGCTCCTGCAGTGAGTGTCTGCCCCCGGGTGGTCAGTGTGCATCATAGCAACCAGTTGTTCCACCAGTTGGTCGATTTGTATATTAGCTTTTTACTATATAGAATTTTATGTACAATCTCCTCCTGAATTCAAGAGGAACATCAGCCTTTGAATAACTTCTCACCAAGTTACATAACAGTCCATGCCTGAAATTGTAAATATGATGGCATTTTCATTCATTATACTTAGTTTCTGAGAAGAGCACTAACTGGCAGAAGTTAGTTTATTTATTTATGTTGGTTCCTTTATTAAAAGGGAGAGACTCCCTTTCTCCTCATGGATTGTAACCTTTGTCTGCATTTCTCTGGCGCTTATTTATGTAACCTATGTCTCCTTGGCATCCATGTGAAATAGCTGTAAGGCAATATCCAGTTCTATCCATGGGTTTTCTCCTCTGCCTGCTGCTTCCTTTGACAGGCTGTAGGCCCAGCTTTTCTGTCTGACTGGAATAGAGGAATTAACATCCTTTCTCGGTGGGTGTTTCAGATTAAGAAACTCAAAGGGCAGCTGGGAGAAAGACAGAAGAATGGCAAGCTAGACCTGCTGCGCCCTGAGGACGCTGTCTTAGAGAACGGGACAGACGTGCACGTGATGGACCTGCAAAGTAAATGTCGACCCTCCTGCGGGGGTAACCACTCTTGACGTGTGGGGTGCTGGCGTGCTTGTTTGGGAGGGGAGAAACCGCTCTGGCGAGGACAGCCCAGTGTTCCCCACATCCCCCAGAAGCCCTGATTGCAAAAGCAGAAGCATTTCTCAGTAAGATAGAACAGGATGAGCAGGTGGGCGAGGCAAGAATGTTCCTGTGTGAGCCCAAGAAGCAGGACAGGGGCCCCATATTGGGCCCAGCGAGGCCACCACAGGATGTGCTGCAGGAAATCACTTACTGTGCTGGATACAGCCGCCTTTTGGCCTGCTGAGTGCATGGAAAGTTGGAAGGAATTTTTCTATGCCAGTAAACTAGGAAGGGGCATTAGGGGATATATTATAAGTAGGCCCAGTCTCTCCCCCCTCTCTTCCCCCACCACTTCTTTGTCTTCCTTGCTCACAGGTGCACTCTCTCCCGGGCACTTTCCCAGCCTGGGCCCATGGAGAGAGCGCCCTCCTGTCTCAGCTCAGGACAGGACTTTACACATTTATAAGGCGATGAGGAAGTAAGGGCTTGATTCCCAGTAACTATTGTTTTGACATTTTCAAAGCCCAAGAGCTTAACAAATTTTCCTTCTTTTTCAACCTTTAGGGGATGCCAACAGACAGATCAGCGACCTCAAATTTAAACTTGCAAAATCTGAGCAAGAGATAACTGCACTAGAACAAAATGTACGTGCATGCTCCGGCAGTATCGGGCACCTACTCCGATGTGTGCAGACCTCGCCCCTGAAAGGCTGAGGACAAAAAGCAGCAGACATTTTTAACACCAAAAATAAATATCCTCAATGCATTTCCTACAAAGAGAGAACTTAGGGAAAAATAGGTCCTTATTGGGATTTGAGTTGTGAAAGTCGATACTGACCCATTGTAAAAAATGGTTAGCTGTAGGATGTAACTAATGTAGCCAGGGAGGGTCGTTTTTTTTTTTCTTTAAAAATAATTTCTAAAAATATATATATATATTTTTTTTAATGCTTCCTTCAGGGATGCCCTCTCGCCTCTGGCTTCTTTCTCTTTCCCAGCCAGGCCAGCTCTCTCTGATCCCTTGTTGTGAGCACTCATGCATCTAGCATAGTGGTCGGCAAACTTATTAGTCAACAGAGCCAAATATCAGCAGTACAACGATTGAAATTTCTTTTGGGAGCCAAAAACCAACTTCTGCGCATGGGCCACGAAGTTTCCATCGCACTGTACGTGCTCGCCCTCATGTGGTATTTTGTGGAAGAGCCACACCCAAGGGGCCAAAGAGCCGCATGTAGCTCGCAAGCCGCAGTTTGCCAACCACTGGTCTAGCATGTTGGGCAAATTTTGCGAGCTGTGTCAGAATCCAAGAGAAAGGGAACAGCAGGCACTCTTCTCCACTCCATTGTGTACATGTGGTTGTAACTTTTTAAAGTTTTTATAGGGACACAGTGAGGAGAGCACATGGAAAGTGATGAGTTTTATGAAGCGTGCATTGATCTCAGCAGAATGGAAGCCTCTGAGAGGCAGTGCAATGCCACCCTGAACCCTCCTTCTCTCACTCCTATCTCAGTTCTTGCCTTTCCTCCTCCTTCTCCTGCCTCCTCACACCACTCCCGGGAGAGATCAGACTGGAACAGAGGGCCTGGTGTAGTCTTTGCTTCCCAGCCCTGTTCTGCCTGGACTGGCCCATTTTTCTGCAGATTAGTCCTGTAAAGGGACGATGGCGGCAGGGTATCAGCACTTAGGGAGCCATGCTTTGGGACTAGGGCCAGAGAAGAAATGAGTCCCTAATAGGGGTCAGTCCTGGGTTGCTCAAAAATAAGAACAAATAGCTTGTTTGACTAGAACCAATTTAATAGTCAAGAAGGCTTGGTCGTAATTCTTTGCATGGTGTACTCTCCCGTTTTATTAAATTATATCCTTTGATCGAAAATGTAATAAAGCAATTGGAGAAAGAAAACAGGCCAATCCATTTTGCAGCTGGTTTTTCCTTCCTCTTAGGTAATAAGGTTAGAGAGTCAAGTATCACGTTATAAATCAGCTGCTGAAAATGCAGAAAAAATAGAAGATGAACTGAAGGCTGAAAAACGGAAACTCCAAAGAGAGGTAACGGCTCTGGGCTGTTTCTAAGAAAAGAATGGGTAGCAATATTGTAGTTGGGCGAGCAGAGAGAGGACTTACATGGGGGGATTAGCCACTGGGTTACTCACTGTCTCATCACGAGATCGGAGCTCAGTCTGATTTCCTACAGTTTCACTCTAATGTGTTACGTGTGGGTTGTTATTTATTCTGCTTGGGATGTGCACATTTCTTGACTGTTAAGTCTTTTCTCTCAATTTTGGAAAATTTTTAACCATAATCTCCTATGTCATACCCGATCCCTGGTCTCTGCACTTTCCCTCTGGGACTCCCGTAAGAGATCAGACCTTTTCATTGCAACCTCCTGTGTACCCACTAAAGGCTGCCTCGTCTCCTTACTCCTCTCTGTTTCCTGCTGTATAGTTTTTGCAGGGACCTCCCAGTTCACCCCTCTTTGTTTTTTTAGTGTGTCCATTCCTGACACTTCCCAGGTGTGGGCTCATGCATGCTCTCTTTCCTAACTGTGTCCTTATTCTTTAAAGATTCCATGCACAGCTGTTCTGTTTTGCACACCTGGCGACTGAGACCTGTTCAGTCTTTGGGAGTCTAATCGGGCTTTTTTGCTTCTGCGGACTCCAGTGGTTTGTCCGTTCATGTGTTTGGTGAGGTTACATTAATTTGTAGGAACACTCCAGGCCTCACTTGGAATTTCCTGCAAAGGAAGCTTATAAGGCAGTGGGGTTTAACCTGTCCCACGACCCGAGCCCCCATCTTAGAAGCAGAACCAGGCTCTGTGGCCCCTGCTCCCGGGCGTCACCGTTTGGCCTTGCGCATTCCTGCCTTGGATTCTGCCTGCACAAGCCTTGCCCCTGGCTGCGCAGGGCTGCGGAGACCACCTGCTCCGGCGGGCCTGGGTCAGCTCCCGTCTGTGTGCCTTTTGTGACACCATGATCCCCAAGTTTGTTCCATGTCTGGGACCTAGTTGTTTCAGAGGAGAAAGTTGCTCATGAGGCCAGCATCCTGAGCCTATGTAAATTAAAAAACGTGCATTCACACGCATGTGTGTATGGATGTTGGGATCTCAGTGGGTCCAGGTTAAACTGTGTTTCCGGTAGGATTGTGGTCTTGGTAATCCTGTTATGTTTAGAGGAAGCCAAAGCCTCAAAGTTGCCTCTCCTCCTTGTTCCCAGCTCCGCTCCGCACTGGACAAAACCGAAGAGCTGGAGGTGAGCAATGGCCACTTAGTGAAGCGTCTGGAAAAAATGAAAGCCAATAGGAGTGCGCTCTTATCCCAGCAGTGAGCGCCAGCCTCGCATGGGAGCCTGGCTGGGCCTGGAGAGCATCGACACACAGGCTTTTCTCCGTTCCTGTCCTGTCTGGGAGCTGCTGTTTTCCCTGCTTCTGGGAGGAACACCCGAGGACTCGGCCGCAGGAGCCCCAGCAGCCTCGATGCCTCCCTCCGTCCGCAGACCCGCAGATCCCTGCCCAGCTGGGCACCACCCACAACCTGCAGGTCATTTGATAAGCACACTGGGCCATGGGGGTCAGTACCCGACAGCATGGCAGCCTCTTCATGCCATTTAAAATGGTCGTCTGAGTAAAGATTAAAGTGGGACTGGAGTTTTCTTTTCCTGTGTCTTGCTGAAAATAAGGGGAAATGTTATGGTTGAGACCTCCTTTCCTGGCAGAATCTGCGATGGGAGCGGTGTCAGTAGTATCTCTTAGTCTATGCTTTTCACACACGAACACTGTGGAACCACAAGCCATTACCAAGCGAAACTCTTTCACTGAAACAAGGGAGTGGTCTAGACATAAAAGTGACCTTAAGAAGACTCTTTACAGGCAACAAATGAAGCTTTTCTAAGGGATTTTTGCATCCGTTCAATCACAAGAGTACTTTTTTCCCAGGGAATTCGGCAATAGCTTACTGAAAATGATAGCTTTTCATTTGCATTATTTAATCCTTATATTTGGAATTGAAGTTGTTAACTTCTTTTAAAGAATGTACTATTAGAAAAATTAAAGAAAATGAAAGGTTGAAAGACTTTAGATTGTGGCTTTTTTTCCCATTGAGAAAGATATTTAACTATTTTATATTAATTGTTCTGTATGTTTGAGCTCATCCTTTTTATTTTTTGAACATATCACTTCATTTTTCTTTCCCTATTTAAAAAAAAAAAAAAAAAGGTATATTCACAGTGAATAAGAATAGTGGGGATGGGCGTGGACTCTTCCAAGAATGTCAACACTAAATTTTATTTAGATAAAAATTTTTAAAAAAGAATAGTGCACCTATAACAATCAGTGTTCTTAGAATAAAAAGTAAACAGAAGAAGTCATAGACCAGAGTGGGATAAGTATAATATCTTCAAGGATGAAAGTAGAGAAAGTGTGGCTACTTGTTGATTTTTAGTGACTCTTCATATATGTTGTTTTTCAAACAAAGCTGGTTAAGTAGGACAGCTTGTCAGAATATTAGCAAGTACAAACCAAGAAATACATACCATCCAACTGTATCTAGTGTTGGCACTTGGAGAACGCTGGGTAGGGGGCATGAACTGGGTGTATAAAGTTGAGAATACTATGTAGTGCTAGAGAACACCTGGGTGCATCCCCAGCACCCATTATGTGAATCCTTGATACAGGCTCCTTGCAGCTAGGTGGGAGAGAAGTTGTGTTTCCTTATGCCAAGGACACTTGACAGTTCATATCTCCTTCTTCTCGGTATTCTATAGGTAAAATCACCCAATCACTAATACACATCAGTACCCACAGACCCCCTATAGCTACTACATGGTCAAAACCAATGCTTTTACACAGAAATTTACTCTTCACTGCTCCCATGGAAACCGCAATTCTCCACAACAGTGTGGTTTTATATTTACCTGCGATTTGTCAAAGCAGATCTTATAATGATTGGCTTCAAAAGATTTCCAAGTTTGGACCTAGCCAATTTGGTTCAGTGATTAGAGTATCTGCCCTCAGATGAAGGGTCACAGATAGGATTCCAATCAAGGGCAAGTACCTCCATTGCAAGTTCAAAGCAACCAATCTTCAATGTCTTTCACATCAATGTTTCTGTGTGTGTGTCTCCCCCTCCCTTCCACTCTCTAAAAAATAAATAAATCAATGGAGAAGAATATCCTCTGCTAAGGATTAACAACGACAAAAAAAGATTTCTAAGTTTGAAATTCTACACAATGAACATTATGTATTCCAAGTTCTTTCAAGAATACATTGGATTTAGTTAGGATTCTGCCCAAAAACAGAAATCTCCTCATACTTTGAACAGGGGATGTAACATAAAGAATGAATGACCTCTAATAGGGGGTTAACTAAGAATGAAAAGGGGAGACGATCCAAGGAAGCGACAAACTATGATTGAGATCTCATTGGAGGCGCTGCCCAATGAGGGTACCAGGGGCTGACGCCAGCAGGCAGGAGCCCTGCGCCAGGATGGGAGCAAATGTGGCTGGAAGTGGACACCACCACACTGCACACACACCACAGGTGCCAAGTGAACAAGGAAGAAGGAACCAGTAAGGGGGCCCTGCTCCCTTCACCCCCACCCCTTCTGACCACATTGGGTCAGCATGTAAAGTAACCCACTCAAAAGGAGAGAGATGTCTACTTCATTGTCTTATCCTTACAGGTCCTTCCACAATATCTTCATATAAACAAGTTGAACCAGCAAAACATCCACATAGCTCACAGAGAACACTGTTAACAGCAAACACTTTTATAGCACTTGCCATGCCTGGCAGCTAGACTCTTATGTTTTCACTCACTCTTATGTTTTCACTTACCATGAACATGGTAAGAGGTAAATGCTGCTTTCAAATCCATGCAGCAGGTGAGGAACCAGAGTGGGGAAGTGAACTGCCCCAAGTCCCACAGCTGCAGAATCACCACTTATGCTTGTCTCACCAGCCTGGGAAGGCAGCCTTTCTTTCCCAAGCCCGTGGCTCCGAAGAAGTCAAACCTCCAGTCTCTACCTCATACCAGTGCTTACAGAAACAGCGAATCCGTTACACACCCAACTTTTCCATTTATTTTGCAATAAAACTTTCCCTACAGATGTAGCTATTAGAAACTTGCTGGCTTTTTCATCCCTGAAACCCAGCTTTTCTCAACCTCATGCTACTAACCTCCTGGGCCAGGTCATTCTTGGTTACTGGGCGGCTGTCCTGTGCCTCTCAGGGTGGCATCCCTGGCCTCTACCCACCAGATGCCAGTGGCTGCCACCCCACGTTATGACAAAAGTGTCTCCAAACATTGCCAGGTGTCCACGTGGAGATGGGGCTGAGGTGTGGAAGCGCCCCCAGTGTGAACCACTGCTCAATCCTGAATTAGAAGAATTAGAAGAAAAGTGGTTGGAACCAAGACCAGGGTAACTGTTACCTGTTCCCGATTAATTGTTTATATTTTTTTTTAATTGATTTTTCACAGAGAGGAAGAGAGGGGTAGAGAGTAAGAAACGACAATGAGAGAGACACATCGATCAGCTGCCTCCTGCACACCTGCCACTGGGGATGTGCCCGCAACCAAGGTACATGCCCTTGATTGGAATCGAACCCGGGACCCCTCAGTCCACAGGCTGACGCTCTATCCACTCAGCTAAACCAGTTCTGGCAATTGTTCTCATTTTTAGAAACAAATAGCATTTAGAACATAAAGCAACCCACTCAAAAGGCATCACAAATGGATGCTAAGAATTGCAATGAGATGATATTTTCCATTGTGTTTTAGATTTCCTATTTTAATAGTCCAAAATATAAACTAAAAAAAAAATCAAAGCTACTGTTGATATTATTAAATTTATAGGTTATTCGTTGGTGTCAATGGCTTTCTGCTCTGGCAGCGCTGAGCTCTCAGGGAATACCAGCTGAATGCCTGCTCTGGGGGCTGTGATTCTGTGGACCAGAACGGCCACACACAGGTAGTGAGGCGTGGGGGTGGGGAAGCACCAGCTGTCAACCAGGTGGAGCCAGCCAGTTTCAAAGTTTCAAACGGGGTGCAAGCATCTGTTTCTCCAGAGGGCCCAGTTGGGATGTGGCACATGTGTGCATGTGCCTCTCTGGGTATTTGAAGGTGACAGAGCTGCTATTTATCTGCTGGCTCCTTGCACCTGCAGCCACAGGCAGGGAACACCTGATCCCCACCCTGCATGGGAGATACTTGGGGATTTAGAGGACCCAGCTTAGTGGTCGGGTATTCTGCCCTATTCCCAGAATTCCAGGACTAGATTTTCACCCAGCTCCCAATCTTTCAGGGATCCCACAGTTAGCCCCAAACCCCAGGCCCACTCTTGTCACTTGGATGACACTGCCTGTCCTCTGGCTGTGTGTACTTCTATATGGCTGGTCCCCGACTCCCCCTGCTTGCTCATCTCCCCTCTCTGCCAGAAGAGCCCCATCACCACTTGCTGGGGGCTCCTACCTGGACCCCAAGGGCATTAAATGCTAAGCAGGCCCCACTCATCCTGAGTGGAATTCCACTGACCATGGTTGTGTTTGTCTTCCTTTACAATTGCCCGTCCCCATGGATGGCATGGGAATAAGAATGCAAAGAGTCTTCAACTAGAAATATTTGAATTTTACATTAATACTCCCTATATACCAAGAGGTTCCAATCCCGTATTTAGGATAATGAGGAAAGAGGGGGTCTTTAAGTCTGTGTTCATCCCTCACTGCTGGCCTTCTGGGTCCACCGCCATCCCTGGCACTCACTGAGTCCCACCAGCCCTGTCTTCCCAGGACAGCGCCCATGTACGGCTCTCTGTGGCTTGAATAAGTCGCATTCCCATTCCCAAATCAGGTATGCTGATTTCCCACTGCATGAGCTTTTTCCTTGTAATTAAACAATCACATGTTGGCCCAAGGCAGTGGTCGGCAAACTCATTAGTCAACAGAGCCAAATATCAACAGTACAACAATAGAAATTTCTTTTGAGAGCCAAATTTTTTAAACTTAAACTATATAGGTAGGTACATTGTTGTTAACTTAATTAGGGTACTCCTAAGCTGGCCTTTGCTAAAATATTCAAGGGGCCAAATTGCCACATGTGGCTGGTGAGCCGCAGTTTGCCAACCACTGGTCCAGGGCAAGGTCACCTTTGCTCCCTGCGTGGATTTACTTCATCTGCCTCAGACAGCATGGCATTTTGTAGATACTTAAGAACAGTTGTTCTTCACCCACCACGATTTTGCTAAATGTGGTTAAGATAGTATGGCTTAATATTTCCATTATCAAAAGCGTTTAATCCACTCTCTTAACAACCTACCCTGTTTCCCCGAAAATAA